TCTGAACCTTCAATCAAATTTATTGATTCACCTAAAATGTTAAATACTTCATATGTCGCAACGCAGAAAGATTTATTCTATAAAACAAACTACGTTGATATTTTTAGCAATTCTCAGAACCAATTGGATAATATCCCATTTGTGGAATCCACCATTGATACTTCATTTGAGAATTTTATTCAATGTGATATAATATATGAACAAATACAATTGACCATCATTAAAAACAAGATTAAACTTTCTAAACAACTTGAAACCGCTGTTACAGAAGCATTAACAAAAGATAATCCATATCAAGAATTAGAGGAAATCTTTAAAGAATATGGACAAGTCTTCTGTTTAAGTTTTGCCTTGGGTGAAAGGCTAAGTAAATTAAACGGATTTTCATATGTTGAACAGGAAAATCTTACAAAAATAATAAGTAATGGATTTAAAGAAATAACAAACTGTCAAAATGTTCTTGATGAGTGGAAAAATCTCTTTAGCCAATTTAATATGGATTCAACAAAGTTTACCAATGGCAATTCAACTGTTGACATTAACGATATAAATGACATTGATTTGTGTTTAAGGACATGTTCTGAGAATCCTAATTCATGGAAAGTTATTAACCGTTTACAGTTAGTACCTATGTATAAACTTCTTAATGATGATCATCAGAAGGAAATAGAAATTTTACTAAGCAATGAAGAAAAAAATTTTGATGAATGGTGTTTCTAAACTTGAAAATAATAAAATTCGATACTATAATGTAAATTTTGGCTTTCGTTTGAAAAGTGATAATTATAAAGTTATTGGCTCAATAGTTTCAAATAATTTAAAAAGATCAGACTTAAATAAGGGTTCCTAGCATTGTATTTTTGAGTCGCAATCTTGGTCTTGGCTCGCAGGAGCTCGCCATTGAAGGAGGGAGAAATGTCACGGGAATTTTTGTTAACATGTAATTGTTGCTTCATAATCATGTGCGTGGGAATATTCCGTGACTACATTTTTCGTAATAATTCGTTAATAGGTTACATTTTGATTACTAATGTACTATTATTGAATTGGGTTTAGTATAGAAATATTGTAAATATATAAGAGTAGTCCTTTATTAATAAAGTGGGAGGAGAACTGAATAGAGAACTGAATTGATAACGAGACAGATAGTTAGTTGAACACACGATTAATGGTTAAGATAACACATAGTCCGATCACCTTAATGATTATACTTTCCCTAATTTCCAACTATCATTAAACCCGAATCCTTTAATAAAACATTCGTCCCGCATAACTTATGCAACGCTCAAAGCTAATCTGCACAAGCTCATTTATCGCTCTCCCAAACCTGGGCGTTACATTTTGGTGCCAGTTGTGTGGATGATGTTTTTCTTCACGCCTTCATCATAGCAGAAGAGAAGCCCAACTTGTCGTTACTAACCTTGGATTTGAGTACCTGCACAATTGATTATGTTATTGTGTGCGAAGAAAATGTGTTGCAATATTACTTAATGGAAGTCCATTTGATTTTCCTGAAGTTTCCGTATAAGAAGCCTGAGAGTGGCATAACCCGGTGAATGATGATCATGTTGGATGAATGCGGAAGGTCAAGGCTGAAATTTCCTGTAATTAGGAATGGAATGTCGATCTCGAGGAACCAGTAAGTTGTGCAATTAGCCTGGTACCGGCATGTAAATAGGTACTACGCAGGGTGAAGAGATGACATGGACAGGAAAATTGGTAGAGAATTAAGATTTTTTCCCACGCAATTAAATCAGGAAAGACGGGTTATAACAAGTTTGTCATAAATCGGACTATACGAAGAAAAAAAAAAAAAGACTCGGACCTGATGTCTAAATGTAAACTGGATTGCTGTTAAGTTATATTGGTTCAAGAATACAAAAAAAATTGAAGCGTGAGTATTGAAGCATAGAAAAAGGAAACACAAGCCTTGAGGTTAAAAGGCATAGGCAAGCAATTAATGGACGTGATAATGCATAAGTGGGACGATCACGACAGCTTTGTGCGGGGCGGGGCACATAAGCATTACAAGAGACGCATTATTTGAAAAAGAAGTTCATTGAGTATGGCCCGACAAAATCGTAATTCAGCATCAGCAAATATATTAGAAGAAGGCCCTCTTTATAAATATTGGTAGCCCAGATCTATCATAAACTTCACGCCTAAGAAGAAGAATCGATGTCAGTAAGGGGTTATGCTCTTGAAAAAAATAGAGCCGGTTATGCGAACGTAAAAGACCTCTAGTAATGAACAAGATTCGCTAAAGCCCGAGTATCGAAAATTGAAATAAAAATTAGTTTGAACATGAACTATAAAAATCTCCAAATCCCACGAAGGACAGAAGAAATGGGAAATGGAAAGAAACGGACGTAACGGATTATTGGATGGTTACGACGATTATGCGCGGGTTAGGGGCGCATAAGAAAAGCGGACGTAACGGACTATTTGGATGGTTGCGACGATTATGCGCGGGTTAGGGGCGCATAGTGGAAAAGGAGCAAGTTAAAACCAATGCTCCGTTTGAAGCCCAGTAACAAAAAATAAAGCTGGGTTGAGTTTTATTGGACGCGTCTCAGGTTGGCCATGACAATTATGTGCGAGGTCTAGGGACACGTAACGATCTTGATGGACATGGCAGGTGATAAAAAAAAAAAAAAAAGGAAAAAGGGAGACGGAAAATAAAGATAAAAAAAGAGGATAAGAGAAGGGTAAAAGACAAAAAAGAACAAACCCAATTAATGGACATGACGATGGTCATGACAAGTCTTGCGCGGGTCTGGGGTGCATGACAAGAAAAAAAAAAAATGTGACAGAGATTATACCGAAGGACGTGACAAAGATCAGTGGATGGTCGCGACTGTCATGTGCGAGAGGGGCACATGACGAAGCAAAAACACAAGCTCTTTCGTCGAAAATGAATCTTTTCCACTTTGGCCTATTAATAGCATTAACCAAGAAGCAAAGAAAATGCATCGAATTAGTATAATGGGTAGGAAATCTGAGTTTGGAATCTAGTTAATTTTGAGAATTTTAATTTGGCAAAAGGTTGAGTAACGTGAGTATGTTCAAGGCTAGGGCAGCAAGAAATACTACGTTCAGATTTAGGGTAAAATTAAAGTTTTGGAATGAAATTTTATTTTGAATAAGGGTTCCTAGCATTGTATTTTTGAGTCGCAATCTTGGTCTTGGCTCGCAGGAGCTCGCCATTGAAGGAGGGAGAAATGTCACGGGAATTTTTGTTAACATGTAATTGTTGCTTCATAATCATGTGCGTGGGAATATTCCGTGACTACATTTTTCGTAATAATTCGTTAATAGGTTACATTTTGATTACTAATGTACTATTATTGAATTGGGTTTAGTATAGAAATATTGTAAATATATAAGAGTAGTCCTTTATTAATAAAGTGGGAGGAGAACTGAATAGAGAACTGAATTGATAACGAGACAGATAGTTAGTTGAACACACGATTAATGGTTAAGATAACACATAGTCCGATCACCTTAATGATTATACTTTCCCTAATTTCCAACTATCATTAAACCCGAATCCTTTAATAAAACATTCGTCCCGCATAACTTATGCAACGCTCAAAGCTAATCTGCACAAGCTCATTTATCGCTCTCCCAAACCTGGGCGTTACACCGGTTATATTCTATAATAATTTATATGAATAATATGATTATTCGAATATAATGAATTATTCGAATATGATGAATTATTCGAATAATTCGAATATAATAAATTATTCGAATACAATAAATTATTCGAATTATTCGAATATAATTCGAATAAAGAATCGTAAGCTCTAATCGCATTACAATTTTTGATTTATTAAGTTATTAATAATATATATATTTTATCGTTAGTGATTTAATGATCCATTGGTTATTGATCGGAAACCCATTGTCTGTCAAATACTTTAGCAAAAGACCAGAAATATGCAGATTTTGACCGGCACAATTAGTATTACACTTTTAAATAAACAAAAGATTTATATGATTGATGTAAAGAAAGAAATGGAAAAGGTCGGATTGTCATCATTATCACCGGATTGTATTATTCTACACTCCTTTGAATTTCCTATACCAAATTTTAACCCCAAATTTCAAGCAACTCTAAAATCATGGTAGTATGTTAAATAACTTGTGTTTGATGTTCAGATAAACTCATTTATTGATGGAAATAATATACTTTTAGGACAAGGACAACAATCAGTTTGGAAATTACCAATCATTCATTTGAAGAAATTAATTCGATACTCGAAGATGAAGCTTTAGGACCACTGATGCAAAATTCTTGTAATTTAGTCTGGTATATGATATATTCTATGCAACAAGAAGCAGTTCTAGATCATGAATCACATCAAATACCCTGGGTGTATTTAGGCTATTATCTCAAAAAAGGTAATTTTGTACTTAGAACAAGAACTCGCTAATGTACTTTAACAACTTTCTTTTGACAAGAATGCATGATAAATTTCGTTTCAATAATAAGAATTACATGATGCCATTTTTGAATATTCCCTGTTCAGCAATATCAAGGATATTGGAAAAGGTATGTTCTTTTAATTATTTTGCACACTTTTTTATTTCTATAAGATTTTAAATCCGTTAAATTTATAAAGACAGGTTTGGATTTGTAAGTTCGGCTGACTACGATGGAGAAAAGGTCGTATTGAAAAGTCTCAAAACTAGAGAATTTATTAACGAGGTGATATATTATTGATTGTTTCCAGTGCTTGATCTCAATCTAATAAATCATATTATCATCATAGGTTAAACAACTGTGCGCTCTTAAATTTCATCCTAATGTTAATCAATTCCATGGAATTACGATAGGTACCGTCAATAATACAAATGGTATTCTTAAATTCTTTAGATAAGAATTCTAGCATTTCGTTATTTGATAATTATAGATCCTAAAACGGGATTCCTTATGTTGGTACTGCA